CTGAACCCACTGAGGTCCTGGGCGAGGGTATGGAAACTGTCCCCTTCCACTCCCGCCCCCCATACCCTGCCCTGTGCACCTGGCTGTTCCTGAGCTGTAATCCTTCTGAGCCTGGGGAGTGTAAGCAAAGTATTGTCCCGAGTCCTGTGAGTTCTAGTGAATTATTGAAGAGGGAAGGGGTTGTCGGAACCCCTGAATTCTTGGTCTACCAGGCATTTGAGGCCGTCTGATGTGGGGACAGTCTTGTGGGACTGAGAGATCTTCAACTTGTGGGATCTGACACTAACTCCAGGTAGTGTCAGAACTGAATTGTTGGACAGCCAGTCGGTACTGGAAATTGCTTATTGGTGTAGGCCTCCCCCCGCCCCAATTTCATGTCGGAAGTGGTGTCAGAGAAGACATTGCCCCTCAAACTCCATTTATGTCAGACACCGTAAGTAAAAGTGATCTGGGCAGCCAGGCCCAGAACCTGACTGAGAACCTAGAAAAATGCAACTGTGCCCAGAGCAGGGCGCCGTGTCCTGGGGGGCCAGAGCTGCCGGGCCGAGTGTCACCTTGCTCCTGGGAAGGAAGGAGGGCTAGTGAAGGAATTGCACGGTGGAGCCTCTTATGGTTTGCTTCAGTGCTTTCCTAACCCCTGCACAGCCACCACAGTAGGTGGGAATAGGGTCCCCAGTCAAGACGGGCTGTCTCAGGAATGGCATGGAGTCCTTGTAGCTTCTGCTGACCTGCAGAGGCTGAGTGGCCCTGGCTTCTGTCCAGGGAGCCCTGGGCTCCCAGACAGACCCTGGCCTGCCTTGTGCGGGCCAGGCCAACATGAAGTAACTTGAGAGGCTAAAGTGAGAAGCGTATCAACATCTGAAAACTGCTGGTATCATTTTGTTAGCAGCCAAGTGGGAGGCTGGACGTGGAATAAACTGTATGTTTACGTTTTATTCCTGGACCCTTGATTTGCTTTCTTCTGATGAATGTGACCTATTCTGCAGCAAGCTGCTGTTGAGGGCAGGCCCGGGCTCTCGGGGGAGGGGATGACGTGTAGGGGTCCGGGCCCCGAATGGGTAGTGCTGTGTGGTGCCCCTGGGGCCCTGGTTTCAGCGCAGAGCAGCAGCTCTGGGTCATGGTTCCTGGAGAAGCCGTACGGTGACTACCAGCCTCGGTCGGGGTTTCAGTCCGGTCTGCCTTTGCGCTCCCCCTCCTGCACCCACCCCGGAGAGGCTTGGACCCACGACACACAGCAGAGGAACTGTCCTGGGCCCAGACCTGTGCGCGTGGCCAGCTGGGAAGCAGGATGGGGCAGAGGGGACCGCAGAGGCAGTCTTGCCAGTGAACGGAGCCTGGCAGTGGAAGAGTGAATTGAAAGCAAGAACTTTTATGTTCAGCAGAAGGCTTGAGTGGAAAGGCTGTCTTTCCACAGTGAAAGTTACCTGCAACACGTTCAAATGAAGAAAGGCTTGTGGGGCTTCCCTGGTGGCGCAGTGGTTGAGAGTCCGCCTGCCGATGCAGGGGACACGGGTTCGCGCCCCGGTCCGGGAGGATCCCACATGCCGCGGAGCGGCTGGGCCCGTGAGCCGTGGCCGCTGAGCCTGCGCGTCCGGAGTCTGTGCTCCGCAACGGGAGAGGCCACGACAGCGAGAGGCCCGCGTACCGCAAAAAAAGAATAAATAAATAAAATAAAGAAAGAAAGGCTTGTGTCGGGAGTTCCCTGGCGGTGCAGTGGTTAGGACTCGACGCGTCCACCGGGGCCCTGGTTCAATCCCCCAAGTCTCGGCAGCGCGGCCAAAAAAAGAAAAGCTTGTGTCTTGAATATCGAGCTCGATGTGGAGAAAGGTGGACCCGCTCAGCTGGAAGGAGGAGCAGATTTCAACAGCTGCTTCGACAGAGATGCTCCCCTCGTGGCCAGCAAGCAAGTGAAGAAACGGTCAACCTCAGGAGAGACCAGAGAAGTGCAGAATAAACCATATAACCCACCGCCACACACCCACAGCATGGCTATATTTAAAGACGGATGCCAAGTGTGAGCCAACAAAAATGCTCACATCGCTTTGGCTGCATCGGAAAGCAGTGGCGTTGCAATACATTAAACGTACACCTAGAACTTTTCCACCCTGGAACCCTGCTCCTAGGCGTGGGTTCAGAAGTGAGAGCCTGTGGACACCGTGAAACGCTGGAAGCCAGCCTGGGTCCGCCGCACAGCAGCAACAGGATGGGGGCCCCTCTGGTCCAAGCCCCCAGGTGTTGCTTCTGGGCCCTGACCGCCTGCCTTGTCCGCACACCTGTGGTGTCTCAGCCCTGCAGCCCCGAACTTGTGCTTTCACCCCTTCAGGACCTCTCTAGGTCCTGAGGGAATTGCCAGGGTTGATCTCCTCTTCCAGCTTTTCCACTTGTCAACCCCCAAAACACACACAGCCGAGCGCGACAGCACCTCCTCCCCTGCCTGTACCCACCTGGACCTCGGCTGTGCCCAGACTGGGAACGCCTCCCTTCACGGGTGCCCCTGGAGGGGCTCTCCCCGGTCACTCCCGCTTCCGGAGCCCAGCACAGGCTGGTGCAGCAGAGCGCCCGCCGGGTCAGCTGTTGGCTGCCTCGGTGAATTCATCAAGTCGGCTCCCAAGTCGTGGGGCTGGAGGGACAAAGCTAAGCTTCGAATGCTGGCTGGTAGGATCTGGGGTGGTAGCTGCTTTGTGCTACATTTTGGTAAGCAGATGACCTTGGCGCTAAGGAGTTCTCTGTTTTGATGACATCTGGGTGTATACATGTCAGTTTTCAGTTCACGTTAAAGAATGCCG